GGAAGACCAAGGGTGAGTGACACCAGAGCAGCTCTTCCAGATCCCTCTGTCCACACACACTCCCAGCACTGAGTATGGTGTTGCAAGGAGAGAAAGTTGGAGATGGGAGGAATACTGAAAGCTAACTTTCAATCTATAGTTCTGCTCTTATCTGAATCTGAGTCAACTCACTGTCTCTTCTCACTTTGTCTTAATTTCTCTTTTTTAAAAAGCATAAATTTTTATTCTTTTCCTGGAAGTATATGCTTTAAATTTTTAAAGAAATCACCATATCATTTTCCACAGCAATTACAGCATCTTACACTTCTCCCAGAAATGCACAGAATTCTAATTTCTCCACATTCTCGCCAATACCTGTTATTTTGTTTTTTGATATTGGTCATCCTAATGGGTGTGAAATAGTATGTCATTGTGGTTTTGATTTGTATTTCCCTAATGGCTAGTGATGCTAATCAACTTTTTATGTGTTCATTGATTATTAGTATTTTTTTCTTTTAAGAAATTTTTTATTCAAGTCCTTTCCTCATTTTTTTAATTGTGAAAAATTTTAATTGGGTTGTTTGTTTTCTGGGGTTGCACTGTAGGATTTCTTTTTGTGTTTAATTTAGTGTTGTTATTATTCTTTTTTTCTCTTTTCATTGTTGTTCGAGTATGGTTGTCCACCTCGGCCCCCACCCCACCCATCCCTGCCTCCCACCCTCAAACCTACCCCCTTTGGCTTTGTCCACGTGGCCTGTGTACATGCTCCTTGATGGGCCTTCCCCTCTTTTCCCCCATTATCGCTTTCCCCCTCTCCCTCTGGTTATTGTCAGTTTGTTCTTTAATTCAATGTTTCTGGTTATATTTTGCTTACTTGTGTATTCTCGATATCAATCCCTTAATGGATTCATAAGTGAAAAACATTTTTCCTTACTCTGTAGGATAAATATTAAACTCTGTTGATCCACAAAAGTTTTAATCTTGAAGTCCAACTTACCTACTTTCTTTTGTTGTTTATGCTTTTGCTGTCATATCCAAGAAATCATTGGCAAATCCAGTATCATGAAGCTTTTCCCATATTTTTTCTTCTAGGAGTTTTATAGTTTTAGCTCTTACATGTAGCTCCTTGAACTACTTTGGTTAATTTTTTATAGAAGGAAAGCTTTCTGTATTTCACCATTGACTGCGATGTTGGCTGAACGTTTCTCATGCATAGCCTTTACTATGTTGAGTTAGTTTCCTTCTAGTCCTGGGTTTGTTTGTTTTTTAATCATAAAAAGGTATTGAATGTTTTCATGTAATGGATATTCAATTTTCCCTATTTCTCTAATTGTAAGTAAGATTCAGATTAATACTGGTTGTGGTTTTGGTTCTCTCTCCTTGAATATGTTAACTCTTATCTCAGTTTCAAGACACATCTGCTATTAAAACTCCACTCCCTCTCACCTCCTCTCCCCCGAGGCAGGCTTCTCTCTGGGCTCCACGGTGCAGTCTCACACCAAGGGAATCTGGATGTGGTGTATGCCTCATCCTGAAAAGGCAGACCACACCCTCGTGCTGCTTGACACTGAGGGCCTGGGAGATGTAGAGAAGGTAAGTATTGAAGATTCAGTTTGGGGACAAGCCCCTCATATTTGGATATCCTCTACACTATTTAACTTTTCTTCAAATAAGAGCTTGCACTGAACCAAACTATGCTTTTTTCATTTCTGCTTATGTTTTATGAGACTAAGTTTTACAATCAGAGGTCAGAAAAATATTCATAAGGCAGAATCCCAGAAGAAGCACATAGTCGTCAATAGATAGTGGTCTAGTTACTAACAACAGGCTATAAGCTAAGCCAGTTAACCCAGATGTATACAGGCAGTATAAAAAATCAATGCCATGACTCTTATACTGCAGAGAGCTTTAGTTAAAGATTTATGTTCAAAAGTCCTATACTGTTTAAACTTAAACTCTGTCATTAACACAGTTGCCTTAACAAATTATTTTACCTCTTTTAACCTCAGCTTTCTCATTTATAAAACAGATAAATAATCTATATTTGCCTCATAATATTGTTTGGAATATTTGAATATTTAATAAGAATGGAAAGTGTTAGGTACATAATAATTGTTCAATAAAATAACTATACATATTATTGCTATTATATGTCAATATTGCTGTAAAAGAGAGAAAATTCAATAAAAATTACACTTAAGGCCTAGAATGTCTACCAAGCTTGACTATTTGTTTCACAATTATCTGCCAATGATCATAAGAGGATCTAGTGAGAATCAGTGTACACCAAAATCAGTAATCAGAAAACTATTCAAAGTCCAAGTCCTATTAACAATCATTTTCATTTGGATTTGGTTTCCTCTTATAGGTCATTAATCTAAAAAAAACACACACAGACAAACACTCATTAAATGAGCATCCTTTTACTACTGCTGATCTGGAAAGTGCCATGAGAATGAAACATAATCCTGGCCCAAACGTGTTCTGATTTCCAGGGTGACAACCAAAACGACTCCTGGATCTTTGCTCTCGCAATACTGCTGAGCAGCACCTTTGTGTACAACAGCATGGGGACCATCAACCAGCAGGCCATGGACCAGCTGCAGTATCCTTTTGTGGTCAAGAACGGCATCAAAATCAGAGGGAGACCTGTTAAAAAACAAGCTATGTGAATGTGAATCCTGGTGAATCAAGCACAAAAAGAGAAAATGTAAAAAAATAATTCAAGGGCAAAAGAAAGATCCTAATTGCCTACTGAAGAATTGACTCTTGGGTTAGAAACAAAGGTTTTGAATATGTGGGACTAATGTGGGATGAGGGGCACTGTTCTTTTACACCAGTTTTCCTTAGTTTGCTACTCAGCTATGTGACAGAAATGACAGATCGAATACGGGCAAAATCTTCACCTGGTGCAAATGAGATTGAGGATTCTGCTGACTTCATACGCTTCTTTCCAGATTTTGTGTGGACACTGAGGGACTTTTCCCTAGACTTGGAAGCAAATGGACAACGCATCACAGCGGATGAGTACCTGGAGAATTCACTCAAACTTAGGAAAGGTGAAGGGGACTTAGAATTGGTTATTGGGAAGGACAAGACACTAGCAACTACCACTTTTTAAATTTTTTTCTACTTAGTTTTCCAATATTTATAGTTTTCTACTTCTCCTCAGCTGTATATTACTAAAAATTAATGCCTGCTTGTTTAGTACCTGAATTAGTAGATTTGACATTGAATTGTCTTTTTCTCATTCTAAGAATAAGCTTCGCTTTTTTTTCAGCTCTCCCTGTGCTATGATACAATGAATTTTATGTCCCTGCTTAGGGCTTGTGATGCTGTAATTAGCCAATGAATATGAAGAAGAGTGGGCATTTATTTAAAGAAAATAGATTAGGCCAAGATGGAGGGATAGATACACTTCACTTCCTTGCACAACCAAAAGAAGGATAAACAACCAATTTAAAAACAGAAAACAACCAGAACTGCCAGAAAAATTGAACTGTATGGAAGTCCAACAACCAAGGAGTTAAAGAAGTATTCATCCAGACTGGTAGGAGGGGCAGAGATGAGCACCCAGCAGAGAGGACGTGCTGCAAAGCAGCAGCTGGTGGACCATGATATCCCACATACACGTGCAGATAAGCCAGGAGAAACAACTGGGGAGTGAGACAGACCACACAACCCATGGTTCCAGGGTCAGAAACTATAAGCCTCAAAACCTCTGACTGTAAAAACCTATGGGAGTTCCAATGGTGGGAGAAACTGTTAATCTCAAGGGGGGTCCATTTGAGGGGCCCACAGGATCCTAGAATGTACACAAGCCCACCCACCCAATGATCAGCACCTGAAAGGGCCCAATCTGTTTGTGGAAATCGAGGAAAGTGACTGAAAGCAGGGTGAGAGCCAAGCAAGCAACATTATTCCTTCTCTGACCCTTTCCCCACAGACAGCTCCGCAATGCAGCAAAGAAGGTTGCCTGGCCCTGGTGAATACCTAAGATTCTGCCCTTTACAATGTAACAGGTGCACAGAGACAAAGAAATATGGCCCAAATAAAAGAATAGATCAAAACTTCAGAAAAACAACTAAGCAATGAAAAGACAGCCAACCTATCAGATGCAGAGTTCAAAACACTGGTAATTAGGATATTTGCAGAAATGACTGAGTACAGCCACAAAATAAAGGAAGAAGTGAAGGCTATACAAAGTGAAATAAAGCAAAATATGTCAGGAATCAACAGTGAAGGGAAGGAAACTGAATTCAAATCAACAATTTGGAGCAGAAAGAAGAAATAAACATTCAACCAGAACAGAACGAAGAAACAAGAATTCAAAAAAATGAGGACAGGCTTAGGAACCTCTGGGACAACTTTAAATTGTTTCAACATCTGAATCATATGGATGCCAGAAGGAGAAGAGGAAGAAAAAGAAATTGAAAACTTTTTTGAAAAATTAATGAAGCAAAACTTCCCCAATCTGGCGAAGGAACTAGACATGCAAGTCCAGTAAGCTCAGAGAGTTCAAAAGAAGTTGGATCCAAGGAGAAACATACCAAGACACATCACAATTAAATTACCCAAGATTAAGGATAAGGAGAGAATCCTAGAAGCAGCAAGAGATAAGGAGACAGTTATCCACAAAGGAGTTCCCATCAGACTGTCAGCTGATTTCTCACAAGAGACCTTACAGACAAGAATGGGCTGGAAAGAAGTATTTGAAGTCATGAAAGGCAAGGACCTACATCCAAGATTACTCTATCCACCAAATCTACCATTTAAAATGGAAGGGCAGATAAAGTGCTTCCCAGATAAGGTCAAGTTAAAGGAGTTCATCATCACCAAGCCCTATTATATAAAATGTTAAAGGGACTCATCTAAGAAAAAGAATATCAAAACTATGAACTGTAAAATGACAAAAAACTCACAACTATCAAGAACTGAACCTAAAAACAAAAACAAACTAAGCAAACAACTAGAACAGGAACAGAATCACAGAAATGGAGATCACATGGAGGGTTATCAGTGGGGAGGGGATGGGGAGAGAATGGGGGGGAAAGGTACAGGGAATAAGAAGCATAAATGGTAGGTACAAAATAGACAGGGGGAGGTTAATAATAGTATGGGAAATGGAGAAGCCAAAGAACTTATATGGATGACCCATGGACATAAACTAAGGGGGAGGGGATGCTAGAAGGAGGGGGTACAGGGAGAGGGTGCAGAGCAGAGGGAGATAAAGGGGAGGAATAAAATGGGACAACTCTAATAGCATAATCAGTAAAATATACTAAAAAAGAGAAAACAGATTAAAGCATAACAGTGAACTAGTCCAGTGGTTGGCAAACTATGGCCACAGGCAAATGATGGATAATACAGCCTTCCAGCTGTCTCATAAGTGAGTTTTATTGGATTAATGCTATGCCCATTCATTTGTAGATTATCTATGGCTGCTTTCATGCTCTAATAGCCAAATTAAGTACTTGGAAAACAGACCTTCTGACTTTCAAAGCTTGATATATTTACTGTTTGGTCCTTTATAGATAAAGTTCCCAAGACCCTATATTAAGCAAAGTCCTTTTTTGTCCTTTTCCAGTTGACGATCAAAAGGATAAAGATTTTAATTTTCCTCGACTCTGTATCCGGAAGTTCTTCCCACAGAAGAAATGCTTTACTTTTTGATCGGCCCACTCACGGGAAGAATCTAGGCCAGCTTGAGACCCTACATGATGATGAGCTAGACTCCGACTTCGTGCAAAAAGCTACAGTCTTCTGCTCCTACATCTTCAACAGTTCCAAAGTTAAAACACTTCCAGGAGGCATCAAGGTCAATGGACCTCGTGAGTCCTCTTCCTAGTCTTTACTCTCACTGTTAGGACCAAAGGAAGGTGAAATAACATCCACCTAGTGTCATCTGTGAAAAATGCAAATCTACTACTACTTCTGTGGTACATTCTAGATGACACAACATTTCTAATAGATTTTATTAGTCAAATTTCTTGGGTGAGAAAAAGATAGGAAAGGACAAAGAAAGAAGATCTATTGCTTAAAATTGCCCTAGTAAACTGGACCTGTACTATCCTTAGCTACCTGCACTAAGGTAGCTAATGGACAAATATGGCTATCTAAATTTAAATGTAGATTAATTTAAGTTAAAGAAAATTAGAAGTTCTGATTACACAGCTATTTTCAAGGGCTCATACCTACAAAGGGCTAGTGCCTACACTATTGGACAGCACGTATAGAACACACCCATCATCACAGAAAGTTCTCTTGGACAGTGTTCTATTAGAATAAATAACATGAAGGACTCCTTTTTAATTGTTTCACAAATAACAATTTTACAATTGCTTGCCACGGACCAGGACTGATGATAGGGACATAAATGAGAGAGATACATTTCCTGTCCTAATGGTGCTTGGCGATAAAGTACATGTACTCAATAAACACACATCTATAGTATCCAGAACAGAGGTTCTCACCCTTTGATATGTATTCATATCACACAAGGATCTTGCCAGAGGAGGGTCTAATTCAGTTGATCTGGGGCAGAGGCTGAGAGTAGGCATTTCTAACAAGCTTCCAGGTGATGCTGAGGTCACTGATGCTATGAAGCAAACAAGTGGCAAAAGATTATCATCAGATTTACACAGAAGAGACTGATTCCTCACCCCAACTACAGTCAACATTATCATTTGTTCTCTTTTGCAGGACTGGAGAATCTGGTGCTGACCTACATCAATGCCATCAGCAGTGGGGGTCTGCCCTGCATGGAGAACGCGGTCCTGGCCTTGGCCCAGATAGAAAACTCAGCCGCAGTGAAAAAGGCCATTGCCCTCTATGATGAGCAGATGGCCCAGAAGGTGCAGCTGCCCACGGAAACCGTCCAGGAGCTGCTGGCCCTGCACAGGGCCAGTGAGAAAGAGGCCATTAAAGTCTTCATGAAGAACTCATTCAAGGATGTGGACCATTTATTCCAAATGGAATTAGTGGTAATTTTTTTCATTATATTTATATGGATTAGGATCTCAGAAAGTGAAATATTAGTAGAAAATAAAATGGGTTATTGTTATGAGACGGAATTTTTACTAGACTTTAAAATGATAAGAACCACTATTGTTATTATTATGACAAGAACCAATTTTATTATGATTGACTCAAAGTTTTGAAACTTTTTTTCATTCAAAAACTGATATTCTTTCTCGACTTTAATTAAGTGCATAGAGGTAACAATCAGAGCTCCTAATCAAATTACATACTTGCTGATATCAGACTGATTTAATGTTATAGCCAAAAGCAAAGGAATATGTAGTCTTAGTTATCTTAAGCAGGCTTATATTGAGCCACATTTCTTCCATATGCAATCATTGGTCCAATTTGAAAAGCAGAAGTTTATTTCTAAAGGTGTATTTGTAGGACTACAGAGCCTAGTGCTGACCTATGTCAATACCATCAGCTGTGGGAATTTGCCCTGCGTGTCCTGGCCTTGGCGCAGATGAAGAATGCAGATGCAGTGCAAAAGGCCATGGCCCATGTTGATCAGCAGATGCATAGCATAAATGCTAACATAAGGATAGCAATCTCTGCCATAAACTTTACCTCCAGGGAGAAAGGAACTTCACTAGAAACACAAGATCAAGAGGATGTGGTCCTGTGAGTTTCATAGGGGCACAGACTTTATTTTTGAGAAGCTTTTCCAAAAATTCTGAGGTCAAGCTAACATCTTCTCTCCATTATTTCTACTTCCTACTTTCACATTAAAGGCCCAGCTAGAAAAAAAGGAAGAAGACATTTGTACACAGAATATGAAAGCATCATCAGATCGTTGCTCAGCTTTACTTAAGGATATCTTCAATCCTCTGGAAGAAGATATAAAACAGGGGATTTATTCTAAACCAGGAGGATATCATCTTTTTATCCGGAAGAGGCAGGAGCTAGAAAAACAATACCGTCAGGAACCCAGGAAGGGAATACAGGTAACCAACACTTATCTCTCTGTCTGTTGCTCCCCTCAACCCCACACTTCCCTCCCTCCACTCCCCCTCCACCTCCTTTTCTTAGATCTGCTTTCTCCACAGTGGGTTCATTCCCCAGCAAGCTCACCCCATATTGGACCACAGCACTAACAGCTCCAAAATTAGAGCCCTCACTCAAAGAACAGAGACTCTCCATCCATATTTATCAGTCTCTTAAAAAGGAATCTGCTTTGTAGAGTACAATGCTTGGGCAACCTGGAGCATGTGCATCATGACCACCAGACACACCAGGGCCAAGGGAAGCAATTCCCAGAGGAAAAGATGGTAGGCAAATAGGAATAGGTGCTTACAGATATTTCCTATTACTAGCTCCATTTTCTTTGGGTCTTAGAGTGAGGAAATTCTTCGGACATACTTGGAGTCCAAGGAGGCTGTGACTGAAACAATTCTACAGATAGACCAGACTCTCACAGAGAAGGAAAAGGAGATTGAAGGTGAGGAGCAAGAGACTAGATAGCCTCGAAAGCTTTTAAAATTTCAAATAATTTGGCTGGGTGAACCTGGGGTCTTTAAACAATAGTGAAATGAGCAAAGATGCCTCTCACTAGCTGAAGTGAGCTCTGACTATGGCAGATGCAGCCAGGAGCAACAGCAACAGGTAAGTGTGCAGAGAAAAAAAAGCAACATGGTCACCCATGAGCTTTTTTTTTCTTCCTTTCCTCCTGACAGAGCAACGTATGAAAGCTGAATCTGCAGAGGCTGCAAAAAAAATGTTGGAGGAGATGCAGATAAAGAATCAGCAGATGATGGAGCAGAAAGAAAAGAGGTATGAGGAGATTCTGCAACAAGTGACTGAGAAGGCGGACAAGGAGAAGGCCCAGTTAATGGCAGAACGAGACAGAGTTCTCAATCTTAAACTTCAGGTATTGAATTGCTTCACCTCGAGGTTTCTCTTCTTGTTTTCTCTCCACTCTCCCTGATCTCTTTGAGTGGCTGTTAGACCATGAAGCCCTAGAAGGACCTTTCTTACCCACTTATATTTTTCAATCCTATCTGTCTGCCTGTCCTGGGCCTGCCTATGTCTGGTTATTAAAAATTGTATTTGAATTTATATCACGTCTAGTCATTTATCAGTATAGTCTTCAATCAATGGTAGCTATTATCTGCTAGGCATTATAAAAAATGTCTTATCTGTATCTTTTCTTTAATATTATATGAAGCAAGAACTCTATCCCATGACTTAGGAGAAGAAATAGGGTTCAGAAAGGAGTAAATAACTTTTATAGGGTCACACAGCTTGGTAAGATATTCAAATCCCCTTCACTGTTCGAAGGAATCCACAATGACTGTTTTTCTGTCACATGTGGTATGACTTTAATTCTAAGAGAAGCTGTGAGCAGAAAGACTCCTGAACTCTCACACTGGCATCAGTCTGTCACTCCTGACTCTTTCCTCGGCCCTACTCCCAGTCTGTGTGATGAGCGATGTGCAGGAAGCCCATATGGACAGTTTCCGGCCTGGATTCCCTTATTTATATTCTGCTACCTTTGCCCCCAGTCTGTGAGGCCTAAATCCAATTCACTGATCTAAAATTCAGACACTCCATTTGATTTTAAGAATTTGTGTGTATTATATGTGTGTATATAAAAGTCTCCCTGTGTATGTGTGTATAAAAGTGTTTAATGCATAGGTAAGATTTGAAAACAAACATATGATTAAGATTGCCCACAAATGTATAGAATTAATGGGATAAAAGACCAAGACTTGTAATTGAAGCTTATCAATATATCAGAAAGTATAAGCCAAAAATCTTTCTTAGCTAAAGGAGGCTCAGAAAAAGTAATCATGAGGCTAGGATGCCCAAGAGAAAGTATAATAAAAATTAATGGAGAAAAGTTCAAGAAGAAATTAAATTCTAAAAAAATCTGTGAATGTGGAAAATAGATAGAAGTTAGGGATTTACTTACTGCTACACTTTATTCATGATTTGTCCTTTTTAGGAACAAGCCCGGTTTCTGAATGAAGGATTCAAACAGGAGAGTGAAAAACTTCATAAAGAAATACAGTATCTCCAGAATGACATGAGAAGGAAGAGATGTATCATAAGCTAAAGACTTAAGGAATAGAGCTTTCCTGTTCACTCTTTGCCGAAGGCATAACTCAAGCAGTTTTAGAATTTGGAAAAATGTCGCTATGTGGCAGGAAAAGAAAACCCCATAAAAAGCTTCTATGCTCTGCAGCTTCTTTGATAAGCAGTGCTCTCTGTAACACCTGCAAAATTTCACAATGCCTTTTGTTTTGATGTGACAGGACGTAGCTGAACAAAAGCTATTTTTAGGTAGGAGCTGGCCAGTGGCCTTTCCTAGGATAATGGCTTGTTATCTCAAGGCCAAAGCATTAACCTTCACTTCTGCTTCTGTATGCTTGCTTTAGCAATTGCTTCCCCCCTCCCTTTTTGCCTTGTAGCAAGTATTTATAGGAAACTCCAGCTTAAACTCTTTGCTCAGAGAATTTGTGTGGTTAACCCCTCTGAGCCCGTGCGTAATAAAGGATCGTGCTTCGCCATCTCCCCGCGTGTGAGTAATTTTTCCGCAACAACTGCACTTGAGAAAAAGTGACCTTTCTTTAAGCTGATTAAAAAGAATCTACAAAAAACCCTTCACCTAACGTATTTAGTGATGAAAAACTGAATGCTTTGCCCTTAACTCAGGAACAAAGCAAGAATGTCTAGTCTCTCCAGTCCAGTTAAACATTATACTAAAAGGGTTAGTACAATATGGGAGAAAAAAGGGATAAAGGCATATAGATCAGAAAAGATAAAATAAAGCTGTCTTTATTCGCAGGCATTATGATTATCCATATAGAAAAATATCAAGGAATCTAAAAATGAAAAAATAAAACCTCTTGGAACAAATGAGTGAGTTTAACAAGGTTGTAAGACAAAAGACAAGGTTGTAACACAAAAAACAATTTTCAACTGTATTTCTATATAAAAGAAATGACCAATTGGAAACCAACATTTAAAAAACAATATCACTTACAATGGTTGTTTTTTAAAAAATGAAATAGATAGAAATCTAACAACACATGCACAGGATCTCTGCGCTGGAAACCATTCTAAGACCAAGAGATTGTGGATTCAAACATGACCCATCATGAATCTCCTTAAATTCCAACTCCCTTGCAGTTTTTATGATGTTCCTTTTACTCGTTGTAGAAGAGAAGATTTAAGAACCTTCTTTATAGAGTTAGCCCTAACAAAGCATGTGCCCAATATTCATTAAGTTCCACTGAGCACTAAAAATATGTCCATTATGTGTGTTAGACTTTTATCTAAATAGAAAGAGGAAAAAATATGGCCCAGAACTCAGAGTGCTACATAATATACCTACTACACACACACACACATACACACACACAAACACACATACACACAAGCACATCCCACCTGTCCCACCGAGAGTTCTTTGACAGACAGGATTTCATAGAACGCAAGACAGTCAAACTTACCCAGTTTTTATTGCGATTTTTTTTCCCCACCTAACTTCAAAACAGAGTCCCTAGAGAATTAGATGACCCTGTGGGAAAAGCAGTAATTGCTTAGGCTATAAGGATCATTCATTCAAAAAATATTCATTGAGGATCTACTACATACTCTCCCAAGGAGTGAGAACATAGTTGTAGTCCCTCTCTTAAGGAAATATTCTACGGTGAATTCAGAGATTAAACAAATAAGTACAGAAAACTAAATTCCCAAGAAATTGAGGGGAGAGGATTTCTGATTTGGAAGGAGTTGATCTACTCCCCTTACCCCAAGATATCTCAGAGGCCTCCTTAGTATGTTTTAACCATATTCCCCTTAGCAGACAGTTAGTTAAAAAAGAAAAGAAAAGAAATTAAGTTGGGAGGGGGAGATCGGAAGAGAAAGAGCACCCACCACCTGGCCCCAAAACACTTCAATGGTGTAACATGCTCACAGCATCTCTCTTTTAGAGTGGACTGGTAAGTGAAAGAAGAGAGCAATGAGCTCCATCTAGTGGCCAATATTTTTATTTCTCTTCACAGTATTTTATCACTACATTTTATCATCAAAGTTTGTTCTGATTCATTGCCTGTCTCCCCCACTACACTCTGAACTCCATCTGGGCAGGAACATTGTCTATTTTGTTCATCGCAGACTCAGCTAGAAGGGTTCAGGGCACATGGTAAACCATAAATAAGTATTTTTAAACATACGAATGAACATCTTACATGAACAGTGTATCATCCCAGCACCATTCCTGATGCTTCTCCCTGAAAGTTTAACATTTGATTATTTAATATCCTATTGAATACTACAGAAATTTTATAGTTATTTAAATTTCTGTACTATTTAGAGTAGAATACTCCTCCTCTCCCTCTCCAAAACTGATTTCATCATTACCCCTTCTTTACAAACCTAGAGAACCTACTGTTGATTTATATTCCTACCATCGCTCAGAGGAGCCACCTGACATAAAGCACATAGTACTGACCAGTAGCGGTGCCAGGGGGCATTGCACACCATGACAGATAGAGGGAGCAAGGGGGCAGTCCCCACTGAAACCCTCCAGGAGCTGAGAACCTGCATAGAACCTGTAAGAGCCTCCAAGAGCTTAAGAACTCCAACATGAATGCAAATCAGGAACTCCAGAGGCAAAGCCAGACTGAGAAAGGAAACATAAAACCTTCCTCAGAAGAGCGATGCCTACCAGGCTCTAGCAGAGTGATACTCACTTATGTAGTGATATTTTCTGATACCATTAGCCAGAAGCCACACACACTTGGTCCACGTCTTGAAGGACACAATACTTGCCAGAGTTTCCACAAGGCCAATTTTTATTATTATATCCTACACGTGGACCTGATGTTTTGAAGAATTTTTTTTCCTACCAATTTGATTTGTAATGTCAAAATTCATTTCCTCTTTTTAAAAAATTGTTCAGAGACTATGAAAAAAATTTCTTAGTGACTCAGGTAACCAGTGCTAAGATTAAACTGCCATAAATGCAGCATATAAATGTGCATGTGGACAGACAGGCAGGCAGCACACACAGAGATAAACAGATACATAGTCACCCTGGGCAGCCTTCCTATTGTAATTCCTATTACAATAGAAGTTGTAATTCCTATACAATTTCCATTATGATTTTTTAAATATTTAAACTAATGTTTGTACAGCTATTAGTATCTGGCTGAAAAGCATGTACTTTAATAATACATACAAACATAAATCTTGTATTTAAAATAGCTACATGGGGGCTGAAAACTGGATATAACTCTTGACAAATATAACTGTACATACTTAAAGTGTACAATGTGATGATTTTATACACATATAAACTGTAGAATGACTTCCAAGATCAACATAATTACCACAAGCATCACCTCACACAGATAACAGTTAACTTGTGTGTGGGGGTAATGAGAATGCCTGAGATCTAGTCTCAGCAACTTTCAAGAATATAACTCTTTACAGCAGGAATGTAAGGTGGGAAAGGCTTTAGGAACTTCAAACCCAGACTGAATTCCCTTTTTTCCTAGAGTAGGTATTTCTTAGTACAGCGCTAGGGTTATAAGACAAAGTAAAAATGTCCTGCCTGCCAAATTTTCACATTCTTAGTACCCAGAAGTGACAGCCACCTCCTGAGAGGCATTTCCAGAGGATGAGGCACTGCCAACATCTTCCACCTTCATCTCCTCCCTGTCACTCGTCTATTGTCACCTGGAAGGCCCCCCGTAAAAGTAAAGTGGGATGCCTGTGCTAAGCAAACTAAAAGAGTCACTAAACTGCCACAGCCATACCATGACCACGTATCAAAAAAACAACAACATATAAATAAGTTAAAACAAACTGATTTCCCCCTCATGTAAGTACAGTCCAGGGCTGGAGTGGTGGCTGCTCTGCCATCTTCAGTTAGCGGATTCTAGTGGTCCAAGGCGGCGGCAGCCATCGTGTCTGCACGCGGACTGGTGGGGAAACCGCAAACCCAGGAACTGATAAAGACATACTGTACCCCTTCAAGATATATCCTGCACGCGGCATATCCAGCTTCCACGTATGTTCTATGGGCCAGAATTTAATCTTACGGCCGACCAAGCTTCAAGAGAGGCTGGAAATGCAGTCTTTCTACCAAACGCCCATGTACTCTGATGAAGTTTGGAAGGTCTATTATTATTAGACAAGAGAATACTAAATATTGGAGAATAACCAGTCTCCCTTCTTAAGATTCTTTTCCTTTTTCTTAAAAAAACAATTTTTTTAGTGCTTACTAAGAAGCAAGTACAGCTCTAAATTTTTCCAAGTCTATGAAATCAACCAATAGCAGCATAAGCAAGGTTCTAGTATCCACGTTTTACAGATGAGGAAACTGAAGCACAGATAAATGAAGTAGCTGGCACAAAGTCACTCAGCTAGAAAATTGCAGAGCTGGGATTTGAACCAGACAGTTTGGCTTACCCACTATCCTATACTGTCCTCTCTCTGCTATATTTCAGAATACTTTTTAGTATTTTATATGAGGCAATGGAAAAGGCTTTATCTATCTGTAAGATAAAGTCTTTTATCTTACTGATAAAAAGAAAGTATTTTCTTTTTATTCAGAATAGAAATCAGGAGAAGATATAAGGAAAACGCATTTATTAGCTATTAACTCTAGGGAGTCACTTATATTTCTCATCAAACACCAACATGAGTATAAAGATAACACAAGGCTTAGCACATGAACAAAGCATGCAGATGCCCAGCATTTGGTCATTCCATCATTTAATGAACATGTGTGTAAACCAATAACAACAAGAGATGGCAAATTAAACACGTTTACATTCTCTCTCTACTTAAGACCCACTAGTATAACAGTAAGGAGATCTTTTAAGCCCCAGGAGAACAAAAACAGTAAGTGAAATAACAGTGGCAACAAAATTACAGAACTTATAAAGCAAATGGGCAGGCGATACTTGACAGCAGATTTAAACAAGCTGAATCCTAGACCAATCATGAAGAAAGCCAAAAAGCCAACTCAGTTTACTCCCATAGAACGCTCCAAAGGTTCAGGAGTAAATACAGAAGAATCATTTAAAGGCCTTTCTAAGAAACAAGCAGATCCCCAGGTCTCCACCCCTGGTCTGCTGTAGCCCCACCAATAGGTCCATCCTCACCTGAGCACATCAGCAGTTCACTGGTATACTCTGGAGAGAGTAAACAGACTGTCTGAATTCAGGAGAAGCTAGTGGTAAAGACAAACTGGAACTCTGAGCAAACGTCATCAGTCGGGAGGGTCTCTGGGAAGAACTAGAACTTAAGGAAGTTCTCACACAGTACTGTATTGGGAAGAACCACACACGTGAGAACCCTAGAGAAAAAAAACTCTATGTTTCTAGTAAACCTCTGTGGTTCTAACTTTCTCTGCCTTTAACTTCCTTTCCCTTTTTTTAAAATACCCCTGCACTGCATCTTGGCACTCAGTCCAACGGGCTGCAACCCTCTCTTTTTCCAGAATAAGTCCTTTTTGGTGACAAAACACCTAGTCAATTATTATTTCTCAGTGGACACCAGGTAGTTGATAGCAGAGGGGAAGTGCCGAAATCAAGGAAATAAGTGCATGTCACCATAAAGAATGTTGAGCTCTTTAGCCCTCTTTCCCTCCGCTGCCAGTACCTGAGTCACCAACCTCATCTCTTGCTCTAACAAACTCCTAACAGATCTTCTTGCTCCTGCTCTTGCCAACCCACAAGTCGCACCTCCAAGGCAGCTAGACTATCGTTTTTAAATTCCTCTGCCCAAGATTTTCCAATGGCTGCTTCAGAATAAAATCCGAACTCCTTTCTGCGGTCTCCTCTGCTCTGCATGGCCTGGCCCTGCCTTCTCTCCACCCTAATCTGGAAGCACTTTCCCCTGCACCACTACATTTTACACACAGTGGTCTCTTATTACTTATTACATAAACATGCCAAGTTTGCTCCCATTTAAGGGCCTTTTCAGCTGCTCTTTCCCTTTCCAGAATCATTTTTTGCAAGCCTGATTCTTCATCATTCAATTCTGGGTTTAAATATTAGCTCCTCCAAAAACACCCCAAAAAGCAATAAGCCTTCCCTGACCATCCTCCACAAACTAGCTGCTGTTTTTACCCCTCATTGTTTCTTTATGGTACTTACCACCTTCTGAAGTCAGTTTGTATCTCTCTTGTTTCTCCTCCTGGAAGGTTTAAGACACACTTTCTCTGCCTCATTTTCCCCAGAAGCCTCAGCACCTGTCTACTCAAGTCATATTTGTTCAATGTAAGAAAAAAGAAAAGCAGCAGCTGGAATGGGGAGCTGAATGACACCCTTATGGCTGGTGTTGTTAGGAACTATCTATGGTGTGTCCCTATAAAACATAACAACCTGACACAACCCCTGCATAAGACAAAGTCACACTGTGATCCTGATGGAGTGCGACCACAGACAAGATCACTTCATAATCTTGCCTAAACACGGATAAAACAAGGTCATTCTGCAACTGCAAAAATACCAAACTTCCTCCTTTCCCAGCTGATAAACTTGCCTTTTTTTTTTTTACAAGTTACGAGTTACAGGCTTCACCTTGCAATTTTCCTGCCTTCTTCCTCGTAAGCTGTATTATGACACCCAATCTCATAAGTACCCCACATCTTGACAGCACCCAAAACAGATTGAATCTCGTTTCCTTGAATCCCACCCCCAAATCACCCAAATCCTATGTCATTCTAATACTGTCATTAAAATGACTCAAATTTGCACAAGGTGTGTGTTCTCCCTCATTGCAAGGACAAATAAACCCAATTTTCTGACTACAGGTGTGCTCCTGGTGGTTTTTTTGTCTGGAGATTACTGACTAATGAATGCCTCTCAAAACAACTCAAAATCTAGGAGCAGATTATGTACTGTACACAATGATTTCTCCATTCACCTTACCATCTTCTGAACCTCCTTTAAGCTACGTGAACAGTAATTTCTTCAACCAAAGATGATCTTTATTCTTTCCCCTAGACATGAAAAACAATGCTACTGTCAGGCCCACACCACCTACCCTCTTAACTTCTTAAAATAGAAAGGGAAGAAAATGTAATTATGAAACTCCTTTTTTTCATTGTTTACACTATTACAGATGTTCCCCATTTTCCCCTCCTTTGTCCCTCTCCAGCCACTCCCTCCCCAGCCTTCACCACATGATTATCTGTGTCCATGGGCTGTGTATACATGCATATATGTTCTTTGGCTCATCTCTTGGAATCCTCCCCCCGCCTTCCCCTCTGAGATCTGTCAGTCTGTTCCATGTATCCATGCCTCTGGCTTTATTTTGTTCAACCGTTTATTTGGTTCATTAAATTCCACATATGAGTGAGATCATACGGTGTTCGTCTTTCTCTGGCTGGCTTATTTCACTTAGCGTAATAATCGGAATTATTATCCTTTGCATGAATGGATGAAAACTCCATTCTTAACAGCAGCTCTCCTTTCCATAACATCGCCTTCCCCAAAGGAGTTCCTTTTCTCTTTGACGATTTGCATTCTTCATTTTAAAGTGTTATGTATGCAGGTCCAAAGTCTCACATCCTCCTTTCATTCTCAGTTCTCTGATCAAACTCATTTCTGTTTTTTCTTCATCCTCATCACGGGTGATAAATACATCTTTTTGCACTCTCTTTAGCATTGCCCTCTCTCCAGCAGCTTCCAACATTATTCTGACTACAATCCTCCACGTGCCTAAACGCTGTGGCCTCAGAGCTTTCCTTTCTTCCTAAACAAGCCGCCTTAAATAACCAGCCCCAGCCCCAGAAGTCACACACAGCCAATCAGTGGCCTGAGTCGAAATTTTGTACCCAATCCCGGGCCACATCTCAGTCCCGCCCCACCCCCACCCCTTCACTTAGCTAAGCCTCAATCACGCGGATCTAACCCGCCCCGCTCCTCTACCCACCTTGACCAGTTCTCACAGCCTATCGAGGCCTGAGTACACACCCCATAAGGTTATCTATCCCTTGGCCACAACCATGTGCACCTTGATCTCTACCCCCAGTACTCCCCTCAGCCCTGCACCTTTCACCTCCTCCCTACCCATTCCCGTCCAGTTCCTTCCAGTCCGCGATCCCAGCCGCCTTCAGCCAATCCGCAATCGTACTCCTTATACCCGCGTCATCCCCGCCCAGGCTTCGCCCCCACCTCCGAATCCCGCCCCACCAGGCCCTGGATCCCTGGCAGGACCAGCTCTAGAAGCAGAGTTGTCTCGCGAAGAAGGTGAGTGAGCCACGAGAAATTCCGGTATGCAGTGAAGCTAGCGCGGTGTGCAGTGAAACTAGCGTCCGGGCTAGCAGTGTCCTGCGCGGCGAGACGGGGAAGGAGGGCGTCGCGCGCCGGCGGCAGGGAAGAAGAGCCGGTCTGGATTTCCTTAAGGAATAGGACTGTCACTCCTGAGCCGGAAGCGCGTTGGAGCTTGCGTGGGTCGGGGCTCCAGATCCAGCCTCCTGATCCGGACCCCAGGTCCCGGCCCTGGCGGACCTCCGGGGAGGCTGCAGGAGGGCAGCGCTGGAATTAACGGAGTTTCCTCTGGAAAAGGGATGGCACCAAGGTGACTGGCCTTCTAGGGTGGGGGACTTTGAACCCCGGTTATCGATTGCCCTTTTTGCTCTTGATTTTGCAGTTTGGGCATTTTGAAAACAGCGTGGCATGGGTAACACCGACTCCAGTTTATCCATAATGGTATTTTTTAATAAAAAAGAAAACAAAGGCTGTTAACCGGCCATGTAAGTGAATCTAAAGTTTTTAGTTAAAAGAGAAAAGCAGTCCAATCTGTCACTTTTGGAGTCCGAGCAACTCTGTAAGGGGGAGCCCCGTACCCAGTACAAAACAATTCCTCCACCTCCAGGTCATGCAGTTAGTACCTGAAGCAAGAACTGGGGCTGCTTGCTCACGTCCACACCAGGCACCAATGGTGCAGACCAGCTATTAGAAAGTTTTATCTCACATTGTGCTAAAACAACTCACACCAGCCAGCTACACTTGTCTCAAGAATTTATAATTACACGAACCCCATTTTCACAGAACAGCCCATTCAACAATCCCAGGGTTACGTCTTCTTAAGTATTGTGCCACCTAAATATAGTTAATATTTTCCACCCTTGTTCCAATGACACGACTTTGAGTCTTGTTCCCATTGCACTAAACCAGCCAGTACCTTGTTCACCTCCTACATGCCCTCTGCTGTGTCATTGCACCTTATAGCAGTGGACTAACAGTGGACTAGCAGTGGACTAACAGGTAGAGCAGGAAATGCAAATGATCTTTTCCTTTGGTCAGACTTTTGGCACTAACCTTTTTTGCAGTCACCTCACATCAAATCTTTCTTGAGCTTTCAGTTAACCTGAATGTTCTTATTTATGTCAAATTAACTAAATCTCTCCCTACCTCTCATTCCCATATACAGAGTGGTTATAAATTGATCATTTGGATCTAAGACCAGAGCTTTCATCTTTTCACAATTCATTTTGACTATCTTGCTTACATTTTAGCTCTTAATTCTGCCCCCCAAAATTTACCAACCTTCTCAGCTTCAGGTCATCCCTAAATTTGCCACACATAATTTCTGTATCTTCATTTTAAACAACTTACTCCAATGAGAATGGTTAAATTTTCTGTTGGCCACGCATATTTGAATATGGAGTGTAACTTATGTGTAATATCTCATATTCAGGTTTTCTAGATTACCCTGACTCACAATTGCCTGGTTTTCTTCACAGAACATTGTCTTAAAAGGAGAAAACTAGAAAAAACATAGTGAAAATATTGTTTAGAATTAAAGCTGTATGCCTTTTGATCCCCCTCCCCACTTTTCAAGGCCATCCAAATTTATTGATTTATTCATTGATTTGTTACTTATTCAGCATACATGTGGAATGATAATTGCATTAGAAAAGTGCTGCTTAAAATGTGTTTATTTAAAGTGCAGAGGAAAAATATCAGAGGTTCTGAATCTCTATCAGCCTGCTTAGGTTTTGGAGTCATTTTTTCACCCATCACTCTCACAATTCCTTCCACAATGAGATTACCTAGTGAGAAGAGAGCCCAGATCTGTATATGGAGGAATTCCATCATTTCGCAGCAGGTTGGGGACAGGTAGAAGGAAAATGAAAGGTGGTACTATGTCAAGAGCCAAAGGAACATGGTGTTTCTAGAAGGAGACATGGCTTGACTAGCAGTACTGAGGCCTTGCCGCCAGAGAGCAGGGCTCACCACCTGGGGTGAAATCTCCCAAGAGCTACCATCTGAGCTCAGGCATGATCAGCCAGGGACTTACCTTCTGAGGTTACCTTCAAACCAAGGATTCATTTATTCATCTGTTTTGAAATATGGGAAAACGGAGGCTCCACAAGAGTCAGTGACTTGTCTAACAGCAGACCCCCCACTCTTTTTTTAAATAGATTAAGGATTAGAAGCCAGGTATCCTGATTCCTAGTCCTGTTCCCCCATTTTATCCCAAGAAAGTAAAAGAGGTTTCTCTCATTTCTCTACTTGCAAGAAAACATTTTGCTTATACTTTGCTTAATACCAAAGAACTTAGGCTGAATTTAAATAACTGGATGTTTATTTGCTGAAAAAAAAAATTGTCCTAAATCAAATAACGCCATGATACTGAATGAAGATTGCTCCTGTTGTTTGATAAGTTTTCGTAAAACTATCTCTACTGCCTAACCCAGTTGATATTTTTACCGTTGATTAGAACAATTAATGACACAAGAATAGGCATGGTTTTTAAAAAAAGATTTTATTTATTTTTTAGAGAGGTGAAGGGAGAGAAACATCAATGTGTGGTTGCCTCTCATGTGCCCCCTACTGCGGACCTGGCCCACAACCCAGGCTTGTGCCCAAACTGGGCGACCCTTTGGTTCTCAGGCTGGCACTCAATCCATTGAGCCACACCGCCAGGGCAGTATATCTTGATATAAGAAAACCTGATCGTTGACTTGAAAGGCATAAAACACAAGGGATAATTTGAATTTTGCACTTTGCAAAAACACTTTGCAAAAAGAAACAATATTTTCTAACAGGACTTACAAATATCCATTCAAATTATTAATTTATGTGATTTTATGTATTCATTCAGTCATTTAACACTTTTACTTATCAAATACCTACTATATACCAGAGAATACAGTAGTGAACTATACTATTATAAATTCGTGAATGAGTGGCCAGCCACACAAACACACGAAAAAAGTGCTTTGCAGAGAATTAAAATAAGCTGATATGATATAGAATGGCTAAGAGACTCCTATTTAAGCTGAGATTTTAATCACATGATGGTTAGGATTTTATAGTCCTCTTTTTTAAGAAACATCCAATATATTATTTTTTATATATAAAGCTTTCTGTAGCCTTAACATTTGGTAGCTTCAGTGTTCTTTTGAATTCTTAGGATCTCTTTTTATAAAAATTTGATCAGAGGTGCAGGAAATGCCATCCCGATTCAACATTTGCAGAGCAAAAAGCTCATGAGAAGTGTCTGTTTGGTTTAATGTCCTTAGAAAGCTGAGTGTTCTCCCACTTCCACATGGCATTATAACAGACTTTCATTTTTCTTTGATCTCCCTCCCCATAATTGATAATGACATCCTGATAGCTATAGAAGTAACTTAGAATTCATGCTGGTTATGCAACTCCTGAAATGACTTGCTAGTTATGGAATTGTTGAGGGAAGTACCATCTGAGAAAATAACCTAAGAATCCTTCATGTATTTATATTTATCAGGGACCAGATATGATCCTTTCTAAATAACCTTTTTTTAATAACTTTACTGTTATAGATTGTGCTTTTACTAGTAACTTATTCAGACAAGTCTGAGTAGGTTTTAGACTGAAATATTCTGGATTTTATAGCTACCAGAAATGAAACATTTACTTAATGCTCTTGACTAAGTTGGAGCCCTATACTTTTAATTAACAATATCCTTGCAGATGTCTGGTTTAAAATAACATGAATAAATTTGTATGAGGATTTTATTAGAATGATTACATTGATTCCAGTGATAAGAAATTATATCATAGAGAAAAAAGTAGCCCTGGCTGGTGTAGCTCAGTGGATTGAGCGCGGGTTGCGAACCAAAGTGTCACAGGTTTGATTCCCAGTCAGGGTACATGCCTGGGTTGCAGGCCATGACCCCCAGCAACCACACATTGATGTTTCTCTCTCTCTCTCCCTCCCTTCCCTCTCTAAAAATAAATAAATAAAATCTTTTTTAAAAAATTATATCATAGAGAAAAAATCTATCAAAACTTTATATATATATATATATTTGATATAAACTTACCAGTTAACTGTCTGACAGCAATGTAAATAGCACTCTCTTTAAAAGTTTTTTCTTTTATTCTATAGCATGTTTTGGGCCCAGAGGAGACTCTGCTCCCTTGGCAGTAGAGCTAAATTCCTGAAGATGATTTATTCTCCAAAAATCTTCAGACTCTCCACTTCTGCTGTAGGTATTGCTTAATCTTACAAATTATTGTACATATTCTCTGATGTCAAAAAAGTATAACTTTTCAGATACTTTATAAATGTTTTGAAAAGAGTATTTCCATTATATAAGCTAAAGTCACTGCTTGTCATTGGTGAGAACTGATATTCACTGAGCAACTGCTTGCCTGTCTGTGTATCAGGCACAATATTGGGCATTGTGTATTCAGTATCTCATTTTATCTTTACAGAACTCTTCAAGTTATTGTTACATTCCTATCCTATAAATGAAAAAGCAGAGGCTTAGATAAGTTTGGTAACTTACCCAAGGTCACACAGCTTTCATAACCAGGATACCATACTCACCCGGCTCTAGCTTTGGCACAGTAAAGGATAGGCTCTGTATACTCAAGAAATGATATACTGACTATAAGTACAGACACAGTGACTTCAAGATTACAGGCAATATGGCAGACTGAGGTCCAGACTATATAACATCATGGAAGAGGACACAAAGCTCATTCTTACACCATGACTGTCATAACCCAGGGTAAATAAATGACCCAGTTTCTTCAAGTCAGTGGCATGAGATAAAAGAGGGGTGTTTTGGAAGGACTGCTCCGGAATAAAGAGGCTTAAGAACCACAACCACCAAAGCAATGTGTTCACCTTGTTTAGGAATTCAATTCAATCAATCAAAATGTAAAAAGATATTGTTAAAGACAGAGAAGTATGAATGTGTATTGGGTATTCGATGGTACAGAGGAATTATTGTTAATTAGGTGTGATAATCACAATGAAGTTGTATAAACTTTTTTTTTAGGGATATATGCCAAGTATATATGGGTAAAATGACTTAAGGTCTAGGATTTCCTTTAAAATTACTCAGCAATAAAAAGTAAAAAGGAAAAGAAAGGGAAAGATGAAGCCAATAAGGCAAAATCTTGATAATTACTGAATCTGGTTAATATGTATATGAGTGTTTTAGATTATGTTGAATCATGAAATTGTCCTTCTGTAGGTCAAACACGGGTGAATACTGGCAGTTTTATATTGTTCAAGCTAATAGTAATCTCTCGACTTTTATGTAAGTTTGAAATTTTCATAAGAACAATGGACTTCTCCCTCTGTTTGTAAATACTATTTCTACCTCATGAATGTCTTGGGTTCTAGCTCTCATCTTTGTTAGCGCCATGACTACCTTAGTTGAAGCTCTCCATGCAGAGGCTGAAGCTGAGGGAGTGGGTACGATCACTCAGGGCGATCAGATAAAAAGCATGGGATTAAATTAAGGCTGTGTGCGCAGAATTATTATTTATCTGTCAAGCTCAGTTAGAATGTCCATGCCCAGGACCCATCCTGAGAGAATCTTGTTCTGTAAGTCTGAAATGTATTTTGAAAAAATTTTCCAAGTGATTCTAATGTACATCCCGGGTAACCACCACTGACAATACTTTTACTCATATTTACAGATTATCTGGGATAGAATTCAAAGCTTTTCATCTTTAACAATCACATCAGAAAGGTCCCTACATTTCACCAAGGCCTTTGCAGTTAAAATGGTCACACGGATAAATGTGTTCTTCCTGCTCTTGGACACAGGACAGAGCGGACTGAACAGCGCAGTGGCGCTGTAGTGTTACTGCACTCAACCAGCAGGGGTCCAAGGCTCCCCGCCAGAGCAAAAAACTTTGGAGGCAGAGTTCAGTGGAAAAAGGAACGTTTTATTTAATTAGCAAAGTATCCGGCAAAACAGCTGTTTACATATTTGTTATTACAACTCCTACATAGATTCAAGAGCTGAAAATAACAGAACAAAAATCTGTGCAAAAACTAAGATGTTAAAACTATATAGTACGTATTTCCTAAAAAGCAAGGCCCGAAAAGAAAGGAACCGTTTTTTAAACAATTGTATGCCCCTTCCTCCCTTCCTCCCGTTGCTGATAGCCCACCGAAGGCTGCGGCACCTGGCGGTGGACAGCTCCGCGCGGGCCTGCAGCCCGAACCTCTTCCCCTCCCCGCCTACCTCCTTCAGGCTCCGGCGTAATGAAGCCGGGGAGATGTCCGCCCAAAGCCGGTTCCCCGCCAGGCTCTCCCCTCTGCAGCTACCTGGAGACGCTGTGCAGCGCGCCAGCCTGCATGCCCACGCGGCCTTGCAGCACCCCCCCTCCCGCAGGCTCTGGCTCTTCACCCGTCGCCTGCTCAACCGTGTGGCCTCAGACTTCCCCCCCATCCCCTCCAGCAGGGGATGTTCCGTGCGCCCTGCCCCGCCCTTCCTGGGGCCCCCAGAATCCTTTGCGCACCCGCAGGCGTGGCCCTGGTTGCCAGGGTGATGCGCGCCTGGCAGTCTTGAGGAATCTAAATCGAGAATGACTTACCAGAACCAGCCTGACTACTTACTATGAACCTGTTTTCACAAGAAATTCCTCCACACCATCATTTGTATCAATAAAATCTTGATATATAGGTTACCTCAGAGGAAGGAAATGTGAACGGCGATGGACTGTACTTTATCTGGACTATCTGCTTTCTTTTCCTAAAAAACATTTGTATTGTTTTTGTAATTTTAAATAAATAATATTTTAAATTTTAAGGAAAAGCATTGCAGTTATACAGCAAGAAAAGAACCAAGATGAACCCAAGATGAAAATCACTATCCTCTGTTTTAGCACCGAAATCTTAAAGGCATAGAAACTTGAAAGATTACATTAACCCTAACCCTAACCCTAACCTCTGGTGCTGGAAAACCAAAGAACAAAACTAGTAGATGAGAGAGAAAGCCGGGTGGATGGGTGGATGGATGGGAGATAAGAATGAAGGAAGGAGGAAATAATTGTTCATGAGAGGACTTATGGAGCACCAACTCCTACTGCCTAATAGTGTCACCCTTTGTTAGACCAGTCTTCAGTTAAGGCTTAGACATTCAGATCGCAATGTGTGGCCCATTAATAACCTATTATCTGCTTGTCTTCAAAACAGCCTTCCTAAGTGGGACTTCTCAGGGAGACTATTCTGTATGCTGTAAGCTCTGATGTGTGTAACACGCCAGGGGTGAAACCTAATGTGAACGTCGGACATCTGGTGAGGTGTCCGGGCTGGCTATCAGTTGTAACAAATGTATCACTCTGATGGGGATCCTCGTTGATGGAGGAGGCTGTGTGTGTATGTGGAGGCCGGGAGTGTATGGGGACTCTCTGTACTTTACACTCTATTTTGCTACAAACCTAAAACTGCTCTAAAAACGTCTATTTTTAAAAAAAAAGGCTTCTAAAATTTACATGCCCATGAGAGAAGCACAAAAACGGTTTTTATAGTAACTAAGATAAAAACTTCCCTTCTTCAGCCTTTTCTCCCCCAAAGAAATCATAGCTCTCTTTTTTGATATGAAGTCATTATCTATTGTACATTTAATTTATATGCAACAATTGTCCTAACACCCTGTGGTATAAAGTTCCTTGTCCTACTTGTGTCAAAGAGAATCTTTTCTACCTTTTGAGTGGGCACCATATGGTATATACCAAGAACTTTGCTTTTCCACTGTGGATTTAATTCATTTAATCATCATAGCAATTACACAGGGTAGGTATTCATTTTCCTTTTTAACAAATGAGGAAACTGAGTTTTAGAGAAGTCAGGTCATTAGGATAGGTAGCTAGTTAGGCATGAGCTGGGGCAGGCAAAGGAAGGGAAAGGGGATAGATTATCCTCATGCATTCCTGCACATCAACAAGCCCTAAGGCAATTCTTTAAATATTGTTACATATATCAGGTGCATAGGTTCAAGGTCATGACTAGCTGTGCATTTGTACATGACTAATGTTAACCCATAATGTTTAAGCCATCAGTTTGAGTATAACACATGTTTCAGAAGGTGTGTGATGTTTGACCTATGCTGTGAAGTTTTTTGACCGTGACCTCCACAGGGTTAAGCTGAAACAGGCTTCACCACACTTGAGCTTGTGGTCACCAGATCTCTGATTCAATCTTAGGACATTGTTCAGCCTTATAGGTCACCAGTTTCAGTCACATAGCTCATGCATAGATAGCTAAGCTAGATGGGGGAGCTAAAGAGACAGGAGCGAAGAAGTTCAGGAAGAAAAAGCCCATAAATATCTGAGTTCTGTAATTGATTGGGGCGCTCTCACTCTCCTGAGTGTGCTTCCATAAGCAAGAAATAATTCTTGCTTATTTCACTATAGTTTGTCTCTTGACTGAATTCTTTCCTTCAAGAAGAGAAGGGCCACGCTCTCTTCATTTCACCAGTAACAAAACAACCAACCTAGTATCACATAGTTAATATAGCTTTGATGTTTAAATTTTGAACTAAGATCGATCTGCCTTGAAAGCTCTTTACATTAAACAACCTTAGAATTTTTATTAGAACATAGGCATATATTACAGGGCACAGAGCTTGGCAGGGCTGTGAGGAGCTGTGCACAGGCTTCCCCCAGATCTAGCTTTCCATCTCTTCTGGTTGTGAGTGCCCGGAGAAACTACCTGTCTCAGTCTCAAGTCCAAATTTCCATGAATTGCCCTGATGGGTTTAACCTGACTCTATCACATGGAGATGGAAAAACAAATGTTTGCTAAATAAATGTTTGGTAGGTTGTCTTTAACAGTTGCATACAGAGAGGATTTTATCAAAAAGCCTTGCTAGGTTTCTCCCTATCACATTTACTTTATATTAAATTATAGGTTTTTTTATTATATCTCCCTTCTTGAAGGAGATCCTCTATCTAAATGGTTTTAAGCAGTTTGAGAGAAGGTGGAAGGTTTTTCCGAAGTCTTTCTTTTCTTATAAATATTCTGAATCAATATCCCAAAGACATCTTGGGGGGTAGCAAATGCTGCCTTCTTTCACTCAGTTCCTGGTACTCCAGCTATGTACTCACCTGCTCTGTCGGCTGTCAGGTTTAGAGAAACCCTCATTTTCTACTAGCTTGTTTGTCTAAAGGTATTGTTGAAAGGCAATTTGCAGAAAAAAGGCAAAATTATGACTCATACAAGTATAAAAATGAACATGTACTAAAGACTTTTATTTATGTAATGAGAGAGAATGAAGCAGAAGTTATAACCAGTTCAAAGGAAAAGTCAAAAGCACAAATTTTTATGTAGAAGAGGAATTGCATTGCAAATGAAGTCAAAACCACTTTTCCACAGATTAGAGGGAGGTCGATCAAAACTCTTGGACCAGAGTTTGATGCCTACCTATTACCTTCAGTTTAGAAGATGCAAAATATCTCAAAGCCCAATTCTAGCCCTACTAGAATCAGATTTGTGAGGCTGTACTACATCCCCTGCATATTTTCCTTTAGAGTACAATTTTTTCTACAATATAATATCACTTTGAGGGAATCTAAATTCTTTTACTTTCACTCGCATAGTCAACAAATATCAAAGAGCTACAACATATCAAGCACAAGTAATTGTAAAATAAAACACCTAAGTATATATTGCTTACAAGTCCCAGTTAAATGTGTGTGTCTTTGAGTTCATTATAATGGGGGTTCCCCTTGTGTGCCTTAAGTCAACTGCCCCTACGTTGCATTCGCACATCAGTTTTCAGTTCTTCCACCTTTACAAGAACATTGAGTGTAATTTGTCAGTTTTTTAACTGTGTTTTCCTACCTTGGAAAACATCTAAAACTGAGCAAATTTTATTAGGCAGCTTACTTGAGGAGCATTTTGTCCAAATGGAGAAAGAACACATGATTTCAGGATACCCTGGCTACTCTTAATTTTTTTCATATTTAATAGAACATTTTTAAAGCATTTTAGGTTCAGAGCAAAATTAGGTTGAGAGTTCTTGTATCCCCCACTGAATCCTAACATGCATAGCCTCCCCCATTACCAGTATCTGCCACCACGGTGGTACGAGACAATGAAGCTACATTGACACATTCTTGTCCCCTAATGTCCATAATATACACTAGAGTTCACACTTGGTGTTATACATTCCATGGATTTTGACAAGTGTACAATGACATGAATCCATCTTTATAGTATCATACAGAAATACTTTCTGTGCCCTAAAAAATCCTGTCTTCTGCTTTTTTATTTCTTCTCCTTCCCATCCCCAAGCCCTTGAAACCACTGATCTTTTTACTATCTCCATGATTTTGCCTTTAAGATTTCTCCAGGTATGTTTTTTGCTTGGTAGTTTATTTCTTTTTTAGCACAAATGGCATTCCTTGTCTGAATATTGCACATTTTATTTATCCATTAATGTACTAAAAGATATTTTGGTTGCTTCCAAGTTTCTGCATTTATGAATGAAGCTGCTATAAACATTTGTGGGTGGGATTTTATATGAACTTGGTCTTTCCACTCCTTTGGGTAAATACCAAGGAGAGTGATTGCTGGGTTGTATTTAAAAGTGTCTTTAATTTTTATAAGAAACTACCCTGGCAGCTTTTAATGTAATTTTATTTTATTTTATTTTATTTTATTTTATTTTTATTTTATTTTTTATTTTATTTTGAATTTACTGGGGTAACATTGGTTAATAGAATTAAATAGGTTTCTGATGTACAATTCTATCATCGTCATCTGTATATTGTATCGTGTGTTCACCACCCCAAGTCAAGTCTCCTTCCATCACCATTATCCCCCCCCTTTACCCTTTCCCACATCCCCCCCCATCCCCCCTTTCCCTCTGGTAATCGCCATACTATAAACTCTGTTTTTTCTTGTTTTTTTTTTTGATTTTTTTTGCTTAATCCCTTCACCTTACTTACCCAGCCCTCCAGCCCCCCTCACTTCTGACAGTTGTCAGTCTGTTCTCTGTATCTATGAGTCTGTTTCTATTTTTTTGTTAGTTTATTTTTTTTATTAGATTCCACTATAAGTGAAATCCTATCATATTTGTCTTTCTCTGCCTGGCTTATTTCACATAGCATAATACCCTCCAGGACCATCCATGCTGTCACAAAAGGTAAGTTTTCCTCTTTTATGGCTGAGTAGTGTTCCATTGCATAAATGTACCACAGCTTTTTTACCCACTCATATATGATGAGCATTTGGGATGCTTCCAAATCTTGGCTATGTTCACTGCAGTATAAATAATACTGCAGAGAACATAGGGGTGCACATATTCTTTCAAATCAGTGTTTTGGGCTTCTTCAAATATAGTCCCAGAAGTGGATTCATTGGGTCATAAGGCAGTTTCATTTTTAATTTTTTGAAGAAACTCCATACTGTTTTCCCCAGTGGCTGCACCAGTCTGCATTCCCACCAACAGTGCACGAGGTTTCCCTTTTCTCCACATCCTCTCCAACATTTATTTGTTGATTTACTGATGGTAGCCATTCTGGCAGGTGTGAGGTGATACCTTATTATGGTTTTAATTTGCATCTCTCTGATGATTAGTGACGTTTGGCATCTTTTTCATGTCTATTTACCATCTGTATGTCCTCTTTGGA